TGTAAGTTTATGTATATATATATATATATATATTGAAGATATTCCATGTCATTGTCAAAGTCTGTCTTGATGCACGTGTGTAAGTTTATGTATATATATATATATATATATTGAAGATATTCCATGTCATTGTCAAAGTCTGTCTTGATGCACGTGTGTAAGTTTATATATGTTCCACAAGAGGTTTTTACTAAGTAATTCTTGCCAAAGCTGGAACTTCTCCCAAGGTCTCAAGTTGAGCTTGAGACGACAGTTAGTATCTGTCATCTTAGTCTGTTTCTAAAGTCTTTTCAGGGTCGTCTACACATCGGAGAGAAAAACCTTTGTTATTTCTTGAAACTCCTATCCAAATTGGACACCAGTATTATACTTTAATTTGAGAACGCTCCCCACTCTGTTTCAAACACCCGACTGGGCTGTCTTTTGATTATATTAATAACAGAAAAATCGTTAGGAGTATTTTATAGAATTATGGGAAAGTTTCCCCTGCAAGGCTGGTTTCTTACACTGCTTTCTCCTGTTACCAGAGAACCGTAGCACTGACCGTGTAAGGCTATCTATATCATGCGCTGCTAGCAGCGGAGTGTTCACTTAACAGTAAACAGTTTTCTCTTGTGTGTGTGTAGAGACGGCTGATATGGGTACTAAGAACTGTTACAGGTTGACCATCACTAGTCCGGCAATCAGTAATCCGGCACTAATTTCAAATACAGTAAAGCAAGATACGAGCTATTAGGTAAATACTTTAATCTCCCTTGAAAGAATTAATTTGTAGTGTACCTGTGTCTGTATTTCATTAAAATTTTCACTTGAATTTATTTGATAATTATCTTTTCTTTATTAATCAACTTGTACTGTTTTATGGGATGTTTTAATTTTAAGATGAGGTGGTCAGCTAGTGGGTTTGGTGTATTCTAACCTAATAGATGGCTAATCCGGCACCCTCCAGGTCCCGATGATGCCGGATTAGTGATAGTCAACCTGTACTTAAAAACACAAAACAACTTTTCGGTCACTCTAACTTGCCGTCATAGTGGTCAACGTTTGATTTCTTTATTAGCCAGTGATCATCACGAATTCACCACTGTTTAACACTACTGATAATAATAATTTACTTTTCCTTTTTTTTTTTTTTTACTTGCCGATGCTAAACACTTCCAAAAATACCGAGTGAACCAGATGCGACAAAACCTTATTGAGATACTGTAAGTTTACCAAATAAAACTAGGTTATTAAATTTTAAAAGTTTTTTTTTTCTAGCCAAACTGCTCTATTTGTTTATCTTTTGAAGTGTGGTTACTGTACAAAGAATAAGGTCACATTCTATGATGGAAATAACCTACATTTGTCGAGTTATATCCGAGAGTGAGCTAAGAAGAAAAGGAGAATGACGTCATGCATGAAACATGTACCCCAAAGAGGCACGTTCGTGAAGTAATGTTGTACTCTCGTGTAATTCTGTCTCTACTATTTCGGTGTTATTTGTTGCATTTTTTTTTTTTTTTTT